CATGAAGTGAAGAGTGGCACTTGCCCTGGCTGCATCCCCTATATATCTTGAGCTGGTATAGAGGATTACAATAGTTTTCAACTGGAATCGTGCTCTGAAGAAACATTAGGCACCGGAGTTACACTATCGGTTTAGATCGTTTGTCTCATGTGGGGGTTAATGTATAGGACGTGAAATTTTGGCTGCTTTAGTTTTAAACCGCTTTAACCTCCAGAATTCAATTTACTCGCGAATGATTTATTGTGCGTTAGCCTGCGTGAGTTCGTGAATTTAGTGTGGCTAAGCAGATTATAGACATCTGCAAATCCTAAAAAATCGCTGAAAATCATTGTTTTCAAGTAATTGTTGATTCGAAAGCTGCCCTTAAACATAGTTGTGATACCTAAATTTAATGATGAATCATTGCAACTTATTCTTTTCCCAGTTTGACTTGCAGACACAGTGCATTCGATTGAGCTAACAGTGTTTCTTTTGACTTCATTCCGGTTTCCGCATTACTGTTCAATTAGCAAACAAAATACAATTACTAATAAACATCACACCGCTCCATTAAATACAATATTTCACAAAAGGCACTGATAGGATGGGAATCTCATGGACCCAGGATCATTAAAGCATCCTTCAAAACAAAGAAACAGGACATTACAATGAACGTTATCCAATGCTATTCACCTAACAATGACTACAATGACGACGTTAAAGATCAATTCTACGAAAGGCTGCAGTCAATCGTCGACAGGTGCCCACCAAAGAATTTGAACATTCTGATGGGAGACCTAAATGCCATGGTTGGAATGGACAACACTGAATATGAAGACATCATGGGACGACATGGACTGGGAGAAAGGAACGAAAACGGTGAGAGATTCGCAAACCTATGTGCCTTCAACAAACTGGTCATCGGTGGCACAATATTCCCGCACAAACGCATTCACAAAGCCATATGGATTTCACCGGACCACACTACTCAAAACCAAATTGACCATATCTATATCAACAAAACGTTGAGAATAATAATAATAATAATAATAATAATAATTTATTCTCAAATAACAAACATGTTACAAGAGACATGCCAATTTACAGGCAAGATCAAAATGTTAAGATTAGCAACATGTTTCTTTTAAAACGGTATACAGTTACTGAAACATTTCACGAGATTCATTGGATTCCTAAAGATGGAATGTAAAATGCGAATAATTGGCGCAAGTTACGAAGGTTGCGTTACGACAATCATCTTATGTATGTAATTGTTTTGGGGGTCGTGATCATAGTTAATTTTGACTCGATGCGCCACTAAATATATATATTAGTGAGGAGAAATCTCATATCTTCGTTTGTTCTTTTCTTGAAATATAGCTCAATTACGATTAAGTGCTGCAAATTTCTTATGTATTCCAAGGTTTTGATAACCTGTTTCTAAATGATAGGCAGAACAGGTGTTCTGAATTATTGTGTTATCATGAAAGATTACGCAGCTTTACTAATTGCGTAGAGCAACAACATTTTCAAATTAACCTTATTAAAACCTTGAGAACATAGATTGCAGAGTTTGTACCAACAGAAATTACATTAAAACTACAACCATTGGTGCATGATGAACAAACTACCAGCCTTTTTCTAAAACTTTTATGCTGAAGCAATGAAATCTGAATTTCTAAGCGTAGTTCAAGTTTTTAATGAAATGTAAAAAGACTTCAATATCAGATGGTGAGGTGAAGAAAAGACTCAGTTTAATGAGTAAAACACATACATACAATCTTGAAAAATCCATTTACGATACAACCAGGCTTTTGACTATCTTCTCTCTTATCTGTTCTAGTCTTCAGCATTATTGCACCACGACACACGTTTTGGTCATTAAACACCACTCTGCAAGTAACTTCTAGGCAACGCGACGCTGCGTACTACTCATCTGTCATGTTGACAATAACACCCACTACATTAGCTTGATAATGAATGTTGTGAACAATCAAAGATATCATTGTATTCATTTTATACTCCGTACCATCAATCCGTTTCATGGTTACTTTGAGGACCAGGCCAAGATAAGGTTACTTAGTCAGTATATTTGAATGAAATATCGCTTCTTAAAATAAAGCAGATCACCCTTAACCTATTAGGAGACTCTCCAAACTTCCTTCTAAACACCTGATTTCGTTTTATATTCATCATGAAACCATATATCTGACATATCACATGATGCATATTTAGTGTTATAATATGTAGAATTCTTTTTGAATGTTTTGTGTTTTGGAAAATCCCTCCATGTTTACATATTTTTGCTATGACATGATGGACTTTTTCTCTTGACATTTTTGGTATTTTATTTGATTCCAATTTGAGATTTTATCATTGTATATTGTTATTCTTTCTATATTTGTACTTATATTGAAGTTTTTGTGTTTGCTTCTGAACTGTACATATATTGTTTAAATTTGATATAATATGGCTACCGCCACATTTTTGGATGGACGCGGTGGCTGCTGGACTTAGTGTCACTTACTAGTTATTGTGTTGGATACTCTGCGGAGTAATTTAGCCCTGGAAGGAACACAAATTCCGTAAGACCTTGTATTTCCATTTTATAATAATATAGAGACGTTTTCTCCTAGAATTTCGCCCTTTTTGATTTGGTCGGGACCCGGAACTAGGAGGAACGTACAGGAGTGTTTCTATAGGAAACAATTCGGACAGCCACTGTCGAAATAAATCTACATAATAGCCGTTGTAATATGTAATAGTTATTGAAGTTTTGCTTGTGCGATTTGACTTATTTGAGTTCATGCAACAAAGTACTTTTTCAAACACTTCAGAAAGGCACATTTACCCTATTTAAATGAAAATGAAGATACTAACTGCTTTCAGTTTAGAGGCTTATTCAAATCTTTTGGAGATTAAGATTAGTTAACTGAGTGTCAAATATAGAGAATAACTACCAAGTAGAAAGCTACTGTTATAAAATGATTTCTGGAAAAATCTTTTATCGCTTGATCATAAACGAAACAGTCAGGCAGGACGAAAACAAGTCCTGCCATTGCTAAACTAGGTAAGTTACATGGACGTGAGAGAACTCGGGTTAAGCGAGGCTCTGAATGCTCACTACAGGCAAAAAGGAGAGCTTGGCACAAGTTGAACGTCTGTCTGAGGGATTCCGACCGTAGTTCTTACGTGGCATTGAGAGGCAGATGCAATATCGAAATCTGAGGTGACACGAGACGCTTTTAGATGAAGCTACTTTCCGAAATACAGGCAAACGCTAAGCACCTGTTGAGATTCATGACAAGTAGGCAACCTACAAACCAGAGAGTTTGCGCACTGAAAAGTCCACATGACGAAAATCATTCCAGCATGGAGATGGCTAAGATCTTCAACACCAACTGTAGAATCTATTTTGAATGTTTTGTTTTTTGGAAAATCCCTCCATGTATGTATATTTGTGTTATGATATGACTGACTCTTTCTTTTGACATTTTGGTTCTCTATTTGATTCCATTTTGAAATTTTATCATTGTATATTGTTATTATTTCTATATCTCGTACTTATATTGAAGTTTTTATGTTTCCTTCTGAACTGTACATATGTTGTTTAAATTTGATATTTAATATGGCTACAGCCATATTTGGATTTGATACTTTAACAGTGACGGACTGGAAGCACTTATTCTTCCAGAAACGGATACCCATCGCGGTAATTTGGAACTCGAGGGTGTAATATTGTTTTGGTAATGTCTGTATTTTGATTTTATCGATTAATAGAACCGTTTTCTCCCAGAATTATTATTTTTGTTCCTGATCTGGGGGTGATCGCGTATCAACCTACACAATTCGAGACGGAGTGAACTGTTAGAGTAGAAAATCCATTTACACCAACTTCACTGATCAGTCAAACCATGTACCTACACGTTGACTGTACTACTTAAACCTAGTGCTATCTGATGGCCTAGGTAATATCCGACTTACTCCTGACTTAGTACTAAGAAAACTAAAATTCCTGCACCCAGGAAATTCACTCGGATATGACAATGTTCACCCCACAGTCTTGAAACAGTGTGCAGAAGCCCTTACTTGACCGGTATGTGAAATGTTCAGGCATTCACCAGGGTCACACCAACTCCCAGAGGGATGGAAACAAGCTACTCTCTCTTTCCGATCATTTAAGAAGGAGATAGGATGGGTCCAGCATTATAGATACCAGTCATATTACAACTAATAATGTCAAAGGTAATGGAAGGGCTGATGAATGAGTAAACAAAGGAGCTCGTGGATAAAACAAAATCCTCTATGAAGCTCAACACGGGTTTCGGAAATTTAAGTCGTGCGTTTCCGAAATTCTCACAGTGTAGGACAACTGAGCATCCTGCTGAGATCGAAAAATACATGCCCACATTATCTTCCTTGACTTTGAAAAAGCCTTCGACGCAGTACCACATTCACTCCTAAACTGGCTTCACTGACCCACTTCTACCTTGGCTCAGAAACTGCCCTGAGAATAGAAAGTTTCACACCAGGGTAAATAGAGTGCACACGAGCTAGTCAGCCCCGAAATCCGGATTTTCAACTCTTCGCTTTATTCGAAGAAAACTGAGTGCAACCACAGGGTCACGTGATAGCTGTCGCAATACAGAAACCCTAGTTTTCTGAAACAAACAAACCCATTCAAATCGCAGGACATAGAAATAAACAACTACCAACCGACTAGAACTAGTGCAGTCGAAGTGCAAGACCCTCACTCATTGGACACCACCAGATACATGGAACCGAATGGAGCCCAAAGAAATTGACTGGTTTATAACAGCTCGTGAAAAACATTGTATATTGGATTCAATCTCATAGAATTTCGTTATCGTTCCTATAGAAAATTAGGATGATATGTGTGTCTTCAAAATACAGAAACTTTCATACATTGTATCAGTATCTAGAGCCATATTATGATACTTCTGCAGTAAATTTCTAATGAACTGACACTTTAAGTGCGTTACTTCTCAATTTATCGTCGTGGCGGCATACGGAGTTGGTTTGTTTTTTGTACTGTTAGTATCCGTTTTGATGGGATGACTGGATGTATTTCTGTTGAGATAAGAATTTTACATTGTCGGTCATGTTAAAATTACTCTGTCAAGACTTTTCTTGGTTTTGAAGGGTTTAGTGTATACCAACATATGACTAATCCTGATTAGCATTCATAACAATACACAAGTTAGAGATATCTCAGTACCACTTTTTAGGATTTCAATTTTCTACTGCCAAGTTTGTAGTGAAGAGTTTGAGTCATTTTTCTCGATATTTACTTCATAGAGTACGAGCTGAAACAAAATAGTCTGTAAGCCTAAATTTGAATTTTATTTTCGAAGTAGAATTGAATCATATACTACGTGTTGGGGTAGGCGATATCAAGTTACATTCCTAAAGAGTTGATTTGTAGTAGTATACGTTTGTTACTATCTATAGTGAGCATCCTCCAATACCTACCTTTATCCTATAACTAATACGCTTGAACTACAAAATAATATGGGTAAACCGACCACGTTACTCAGTTACTAGAAGCAACTCTCAACACATTCTACGTGACTGATTGACTCATAGTGTACATCGAATACCATCATTGGTTTATCCTTACCATAAGGGCTTGTAAGATATGACCTAAACATAACATGTTATGACTATGGATTAAATGTTTAACTATATATGAATACTATTTGACTGTTAAAATGGAAATATACTTTTTTGATGATACAATCTGAGTTTTTAACTTATTGATCACGTGTAACATAAAGTGTTATTTATGTTCACTGATTAAGAATAAAAATTTTGAAACCAATCTGAGTAGTAGTCCGTAACAGTGTTGACGATAATCGATAGATAACGTATAAATGATGTTTCTAAAAAAACAGTTTGTGGACTGACACTAAAATTAAATACTTCCATAACCTGTGGCTTAGCATAAGACAATGTGTGAATGCATCTACTCCATCGCCACTGATTTATATGCAACCATTGGTTACAAACCAAAATAAGATAATTTGGACCTGCTAACGCGAGGAAGTAAAATTTTTTCACGAGAAGAAATCTGTATACTTGTTTCAGCCACTATATCTTCGAATAGTTGATACCACTGAAGGTAATTCATTGCTTATCCTCAAATAGCGGCAGTTTTGTGTGATCTAGTTTGGCTTAGTCTTAATAAATGTAATTGTCAAAACCAAAACTTGTACTTTTTTAATGCTTATTTTGCGAATTATCACTACTTTTTGATTGTCTAGTTTAAATTTTTATTTATTCACTGTCAAAATAGTCTACTTGTTGATATATAAAACTCAGTTTACCATATTTTGATTCTGTTTTCAGCCTAATTATGTTCTACGCACATTTTGTACTCAGCAAAAAGGGCCCTTTGGCCCGAATTTGGCTAGCTGCCCATTGGGATAAAAAGCTTACTAGAGCACATGTTTTTGAGACAAATATCAGTTCTAGCGTCGAAGCAATTTTAGAGCCAAAGTTAAAAATGGCATTAAGAACATCTGGACACTTATTGTTGGGTGTAGTCAGAATCTACTCTCGTAAAGCTAAATATCTACTGGCCGATTGCAACGAAGCATTTGTCAAAATTAAAATGGCATTTCGGCCAGGTGTTGTTGACCTACCAGATGAAGCAAACCGTGAAGCTGCTATTGCAGCTATCACTTTACCAGAGAATATTCATGATTTCGAAGCAACTATAGCTGATCTCAAGTAAGTAACTTTCAGTGATAATCTTTCATTTTTAGTGAGATTAATATGAATACTATAGCCATAAATCAAAGTCGCCCAGAAGACATTACTATGCGTGAAGATTTCGGCGAGATTAATTTAGGCCGACAAGATGATGATTTTGGCGATTCAGCATTTGACGAAGTATCAAGTCGTGAAATTATTCGTGATGGTGATAAAACATTTGGCGATAGTATTTATCGTGGAAGTGATCATTTGTCAATGCATCACGATGCTGATTTCACGTTAAATCCTGATCAAGATTTGGATGCTACTTTAATAGATGTGAAACGGGGTGGGAGATTATCTGATGCAGAAAAGCCACTTAAATCTATTGATTCAATTACACATCATGATGATATTGGGATTGGTGATCATGAATTTGACGATGACTTTCTGGGTGAGTTATGCTTTATCTTTATCTTTAGAGACCTATGTGATATCCATGTAGGTTGTATATGGGTTGCATTTGATTTCAATTTTTATTGGTATGCGAATTTTTGAATAAGTTCTTCTTGGTGAGTTTTTTTTTGAGTAACTTAATCTCTATTTGTAAGTAGTTTAAGTTGTGTTGGGTAAGGTGGTTGTTCACTACTAGTAATGTGTGATTCAAAAGTTTGAAAATGGCCCAGCAATAAACCATTGTACGGCAATTTCAAACTGTGTTCTTGTAATAGCTATTGCGTATTCATCTCATGATGGACTTTTTTTACTTAGTTTTTGAATTATTCAATGATTACTGATTTCAATCTGCCCTACTTTATGCTGTCTTTTTATTAACACTACATGTTAGTTGGCTTTAAATCAGTTTGTGAATTCTGAAATTAGTTTCCTCATAAATTTAACGCTTTAGGATTTTACGTCACTTCAAAAACTACAAACCCTTATGAGTTCCAGGAAGCAAAGAAAAACTTCTAGGCGTCTTGATCACATCCACCCAGCCCAACTATTGATACTGCTTAGATGCTTAGACCGATAAAGGCTATAATGTTGGGTTCAAACTTGCTACCTGTTGATTGAAAGCCAAGCCCGTTGATCGATCTCAGCGTTCATTCTCATTACTCATACAGACGATACTTCGATTGTATTAAGGATATTGCTTTGTTTCTTTTGTACTATCTAAACATCTGTTAAGCTAGCACGTTTATTTATTTATTCCTTGAAGAAGCAACTGATTCAAGATGTCTGAAATTCGATATTCTACTCACTGAAATATTATAAATGTATCGCTCAGTTTATTTAAAATTATCACGCTAAACCTTAATACGTATATATATATAGAGGATAGTTTTTCTCCTTGAGAAGTTGTCAACTATTTGCCAATTGGCTTGTGAAAAATGTTTTTCCCAAACTGTGTTATCGTGACAAGTTTATATAGTCTAGAGAATCAATCGTAAGTTTTGAATGAAAAACTAAACAACAGAGGGGTGCCAATGGATACTTTTTTTAGTAAGAATTGAATCCTGTTTTTTTTCCTTCGTTCAGTTTATCAAAGTCTTCAATTTCTTTACTGAAATTTTTTCCGGTGAGGTTTTTTTTATAGTACGGTTACGCTTAAACCATGAACTTGAAGGATATCTTTCAATTAGAGTTATAAAGATTATTGTTTTTACACACTTGAAATCATCAATCAATCTTCGTTAGACCACCATTAGAAACCTGAAACAACTGGACGGCCGTTTCGTCCTTTTATGAGACTCATTGGCAGTGGACGAAACAGCCGTCCAGTTCAAATGTGTTGAAGGATATCATTCCAAGACTGATAAGCTCACTTTTCTTCTCTTCTATAGCGTAAATTTCATACTGATTAATGTTTTCCTCTCTTTATCATGGTTCTATTAAACTTGAATAAGAAAGAGAGGGTTAAAAGAAACATATATCGACTTTTTATAGATTGTCTGGACATGATATAAAGAAGTTTGTTGTGGTTTTTAATTTAAACCGTGTTATAAAACTAAATGTAATGGTTGATATGTTACCGCAAAATCAAATCATATCACATGCATACATTCATTCACTACAACTGTTACACTGCAACATTTCATATTTAATTTTCATTGAACAAATTTTTGTTTTCCATTTTCACAATTATTCAGCTGAACCAGATGATGATGATGAGAATTTCGGTGGTCGAATTGTTCATTCCTTATTTACTGATGGTATATTTGAAGATCCATCTGCACAAAAACAATTGGAAAATTTAACTTCTGAAATTGAATCTCACATGGTCACAGGACGTTTCGATTTACATCATGATGATATTACAACTACACCGGTTCCAACATCGAATAATGAAGATCTGTTATCAAATGATATTGCTGTCAATAAACCATTAGATGCATTTGCTACAGTGTCAACATCAGTAGACGAATTAATGACAACAGTGGCTACAGCAACAACAGTGATGAATATCACTTCAGAGACAGGTGGATTTGTTGCTCCAACTAGTTTACCAACTGATACAACAACAACAACAACATCTAGACTTGGACTAGGAGTTTCTGCAATGACAGAGAGTACAACTTTAATTAGTAATGAATCAGAGGCATTTGCTTTACCACCTATTGATACAACATGTGCTACAACAGGTGTTGAACCAAAACGGTAAATTAATTTTTTCATTTTCTTGTTTTATTATGTGTTCTACTACTACTACTGCTACTACTGCTACAACATAAACCTTGTTTCAATAAATTTTTGATTATTTAAACAGTCAATCAATCAATCAATCAATTGATTGGTTGATTGATTATTTAAACTCATAAATACTGGTACGTAGAAAATACTAAGTATTTATGCGCCACACAAATTATTGAATTTCTGAGTAGTGGGCCGAATTACTACCTGGACGCGCAAAATGGCGGTTTTCTTAGGAAGCCATTCCCGAATGTTTGACACAAAAGTCCAGTCTATAAGACAGCGGGGCAACGTAGGGAGTTGCAGTCTCAGGGTCGTATGCTCGGCCAGGATCCTGGAGTCTATGTGTACTGTTGTTTTGGAATGACGGTTTTACAACTGCGCTAGGTGGATACTTCGTACCCAGATTTTACAAATTGCACACTAGATCTATTCCTAGGTCTATTCCTATTTACTAATAACTTGTTATGGATGTGCGCTGCCACTAATGAGTCCTATAGTAGAACGAAACAGCCGTCCAATGTTTTCAGGTTTCTAATATTGGTCTAACAATAATCGGTTCATGATTTCAATGCAACTTAACAATCTGCACAATCCCCATACTGTCAATGCTGATTATTAATTTACTTGTTTGATATTCACTATTCTCTCTCTTTCTCTCTATGTATATGTATATAAAATCAATTTTGTAATAGAGCCACAAAACGTAAACGTCGACTTATTGTTGATGAACAAAAATCAATTCCAAGTGAAGTAATGAAATCTCAAATGGAAAATACATCGGATATTACAACTCAATTAGATTTAGCACCACCAACTAAAAAATTAATGCATTGGAAAGAGACTGGTAGTGTAGATAAATTATTTGTTCTACCTGGTCGTGCAATTCCATCACGCGTGCTACAACGTTTATTTATGCGTAATTTATATACTCAAACTGTACCAGATGATGTTATCAGTACAGGGGAATCGCTTCAAACATCGAATTTATTATCTGGTCTATCGTTTAATTCAACTGCTCAACAACAACAACAACAGCAACAACAATCCTTATCTTCTGATCAATCAAATATATTGATCAATTCAGAGGTAACAGTTATTTTTTTGAAAAAAAAATATTTTGATAATTATTTGCTTCCAATCTACATATTCATATGCCATTGACGTTAAAATATCCGTTGTTATGTGAGTATATACATGTGTGTGCATGCATGTACCTTTTCTAGTGTGCAGTGACTTTTCTCTTGGATATAAAATGTATGTATTCAGTGACTTAACTATTACTATTGCCATTGGCTTGTGAACGTCTTATCAAGTGATCGTAGCTTTGAGGGGTTGTACATTTTCGGATATATTTCACTGATGATGTCATTCATAAAGCAATAGTAGAATACGAAATTCGCCTATGTGTCACACACACACACAAACTGTCATTGTAAAAATAATGTATCCGATCAGGTGAATTGTTTACTTATCTACGCTTGTTATCCTCTGGTAGAGCATAGGCTACCGACCAGCGATCTGCAATTAATTCTGTCTTGAACTTTTCTTCCCAGTCGTTCCCAATTGCTATTCATTCTTTTGATATCTACATCCAATTCTTGGTGCATTGTGTTCGTAAGCCTGCCTCTTTTCCTTTGGCCTTAAGGATTCCAAGTTAGAGGCTGCTTCATGATGAAGTTCAGTGGCACCTGTAACAATTAATATACGTACGTGTAATGTTAGAATGAATTGTTACAAAAAGCATAAATGATGAGTAGAGTTCACTGGCAAGTAACACATGAATTGATGAAAACTAAATTTGTCTCTTCTCCTTACTATTTGACATCTCAATGAGTTTTAAGGATGGTTAAAGCCATAATGGATCCAGTCTGTATAGTTTTTTAATTTTTGTTACTAAGTTTTAATTCTGACATACAACGCAGACTTCAGTAACGTTTTAATTCATATTACCCCCGCCCGCCGTCCATCGTTTCCTGTTTTCTTATTTGCTCCTATCATCTATTAGTCTATTGCTTTTGTTATATACTCTCCAAGATTATAATTGTTACTGCAGTCATTGACTGTTAGTCTGAATCATATTGATAGCTTGAGACCGTCTAGTTTAGGTTCACATGTTGATCGTATTCAATGATTATAGAGACGTTGAGTGCAGATACACTCATTCTTGGTTTTTATCCCTTTTATATACTGAGTTCCAGCATTGCGTGTTTTGTATTGTCTTATTCTATCTACCTTTATTCCTTTAAGTCAAATCTTTTTAACTAGAATTTCACCTTCCGTACAGATCTTAATAAATTCCTGTTTCATTGTACTGATGTAATATGTTACAATTTGGGCCACTGTACGTATTTGTACCTAAGTCCAACGTAGATTATCACTGACCTCCTTAGATTTAATCTCGAAAGTTACATCATAGTATCTTTTATTTAGAAAAATTTCTGTTCAGTACCATGAAACCGTACTATGTGTATGCGCATATCAACTCTTCTGAAAAATTATTATTGTTTATCATTGTTTGTAAATTTATTCGTATAAATTGTAAATATTTTCACAGACTTTACCATCAAACACCTCGTTCGATCATACTATTCAACAACAATCTGCTGATGTGTCCATTTCTGAATTTGATGAAATAACAAAAAGTACAATACAGTTGCCTCAAAAATTGGGTCCTATCTCAGAAATTCCAGAAGATGAATCAGCTGCACTTATTGCTTCACATGGTGAGCAGTCGAAAGCAACACCTGCAAGTAAGTTCAGTGTTGTGTTGTGTTGTGTGTGTGTGTATTTAAGCGTTCGGCGAAGCACATTCGAAGGTTATTATGGTTTAAAACATTCAGCCACTATGTCACAAGTTCGAACCCTGCTCTACCTACTTTGGTCCAAGTAACCTAGTGTTGTTACTGTTATAATTCACGGTGTCGAGATCTGAAGGTAATAATGTCTAACCTCACAAACTGGCTGCTTTAGCGAGAAGGTAAAGAGCATTAGAAAAGGTCTATTTGGCTACTGAATAATTTGAACAAATACTCGTCTAAGTATATTGATTCACCTCATCAGAAAAGAAAGCCATTTCTTAACCAATGATATAAATTCGTTCTTTAGGATTATCCAGTGCTCTTCCCATTAGGTCACTTCTAATTAACTCAGTGTGTCAGTTACTTTCACTGCTCACATTCAGAGTGTAACTCGAACTCGTTTATAAGTGTTTGTACCTGTTAAATGAGTTAATAAGAGAGTATATTAATGCATGTGTGTATAAAAATGGGCAGCAAGTACCAGCTTGATCTGCGTCTTTTCTCTTTATGCTCTATATAAATCAATTCAAAAATAAAGTATTTCTCACAATAAATCATTTAAAAACTAAAGTTAATCGTTGTTAGTCTTGACTGTTGATTTAAAAATTTGGAAATTCCATACTTTTATTGTTTATACTCATAACATATATAAGTAATGTATGCATATGTTATAAAATAAATTTATTTGCCTGTTTTACTATATCATCATCATTATCACCATTCTCTCTTTTGTTTAGCATCTCATGGTGCCGATAATAATCAAGATGATCTTGATGATGAACCAAATATGCATGATGATTTAACATTCATGGTGGAACCGGAAACACCTTATCTTGCACCTCCAAGTATTTTATCCGAAGCTCCACCGAGTGTAATGCAAGTAAGTTGTAGATTTTGTAGAAACTATAAATTTCTAAAGATATTACATTGTAGTATGTGTTCGAATCTTACAATTGATGTTTAGGACTAATCGACTAGTCTCTTTGTGTTGTGAGCCCCTGAATGCCCTGGTACAGTCGGGAATGAGAGTGGGAAGAGTTTACTGGCTCTTTCGAAAAGCTTTTATATAACCATGTGTATATAGCCACTACCAGGAAAGTCCTACTCACTGCCTTCTCGTGCAGCAGGGGTGTTGTTTATCAAGTTGACAGAGCAAAATTTACGTTTCTGGTGCTTAAACCGAGTCGGTGGCTACGGAAGACCCACTTATGGGAATAGGAAAACACTGGTTTCCAACCAGTGGTACTCATGGGCTCCAGAATCCTGATGTAAGTAATAGTGTATGAACCTATTGTTCGTGACCGGTTACTATAGAACTTCAACTCCTTACGTCGCCCCACGGCTTTGTGTATTGAACTTTAGGGTCAAAGGTTCGGGTGTGATTCCATAAGAAAACCACCTACTTCGGTTTGGGAGTTCGGGCAGTATCCCAGCCCATTACTCGAAAATTCAATACTATGTGTAGCGCACAAATATTTGAATGTCTCTTTGTACCAATGCTTATGCGCATAAATAAATAAATGTAGTAATAATAATAATGCTTGATGAAAGGTGCTGGGTTAGATGCTCGCATACTGGGGTCGCTTATATGAGCTACTGAGAAGTCTCATACTAGGACCTAACGGCTATCTAATGCCCTCAAGTTTTCTAAGGGTGGCCTAGCTAAGATCACTTCGTAATTTCAACCATAAAAATAATAAAATCTTTACAAATCTTCATTTATTATAAAGTTTTTTAAGTGTTTTACTTACGCCTGTTACCCTAATGGAGCAAAGATCGCCGACCAGCATTCTCCAAACTACTCTGTCTTGGACCTTCCTTTCTAGTTCTGCTCAAGTGTTGTTCATTCTTCTCATGTCTGTCTCCATTTCTTGGTGTAATGTGTTCTTTGGTCTTACTCTTTTCATTTGGCCTTGGGGATTCCAAGTAAGGGCACAGTGTTGTAACGGTTTGCTTACGATATTTCCCGGCTAAATCTTATTGCTTAGTATTCTTGACACAAAACACTGGACAAGTAACACAAATCAAAACACGGTTGAACAGGAAGGATTGTATTCCAAAATAGCAATGAAAAGAAGCTGGAGGTGATGGCGAAAGCCAAGGCAGAAAGGCTTGAATGCGAAGAAGGCTAAGAAGGCTAGAAGGCAAAGATAAATACAATGCTAGTCTATTTATAGCCTTTACATGAGAAAACTTCTGGAAGAAAATTCACGTGATCGACTGGGCTGGATTTGACCAATCAGCATGCAGCTAATAATACGAGAAATTTCTATCCTGTTCTCCAAGCTTCGATCAGGCGCTGATTGGATAGGAAATTAGCCAATCAGCGCGTAGTGACGTAATCACGCTTTAAATCCATGTATGTCCCACTAACACACAGTTTGGGTGCTTTTCGTAGTGTGTGTTTTATCCACTTCCACCAATTCTTCCGGATTTCCTCCTCCACTGGAATCTGGTTTGTTCTCTCCCACAGTGGGTTGTTGCTGATAGTGTCTGGCCAACGGATCTGAAGTATTTTACGTAGACAACTGTTAATAAACACTTGTATCTTTTGGATGAGGGCTTTCGTAGTTCTCTCAGTTTGCACCCCATACACTAAAACTGTCTTGAATTTAAATATATATATATATATATATGCATAACATATTTTTATTCCTTTGTAAAATTTCACTAGGTTGATATGTTAGCATTAGAACGTGAATTAGCTGCAGCTGATCATGAAATTGACAATGAATTAGCGAATGTCTTTAAAGGTGATGATAAAACATGCGGTTTATTAACTGGTAGTGGTTTTCCTGAATCGGAAGCTCCTCTTTCAATTGAAGGTTTACCATTTGAAACAGTTGAAGAACGACGTTTAGAGAAACGTTCCAAAGTGTTATTACGTATGTTACGTGTACATCAACAACAACATGGTTGGGATGAACCATTAACATTACAAAGTTTATGCAATAATAATACAAAGAAACAAGTAAGTTCTAATGTGTTGTTTATTTATTATTAAATATATTTCTTGTACATAATTCAAAGTTCATTCAAACTAGGTTTCATTTAGGCAACCAGGGAGTGTATCCGTATCATACGCTTGTTCTTACACAGGCAATATAGCTGACCAACTAATAGTTGTATACTATCTTTAAGTGAATGGTTAAGTGGGAATATGTTTACGATATACCTTTCGCTCAGCAGTAGTTTCTACTTTGAAGTGGCGGTCAGGCTTGCCTATTATGATGACTCAGCCGAGCTTTATTAACCAGAACACATGTTCCTTTTAGTCCCACCATGCCAGGCAGGTCGATTGGAGAACGGTAAGGCTAACAGAAGTAACTTATGGTCTGAGGGCGAAGTCGTACTGCTGACTGTGGAGGGGTGTGACAGCAGTAAGGCGTTTCCCTCGGACAACCAGCATCTGCAGCGATTCTGCCTTTTCACAACGGGACGAAAGTTTTAGGAAAGGTCAACTTTAAGAATGTCACACCTCACCCCACGGATCTCCGGCTGTAAGGCCTTCTCAGAAGCGGAGCTAATATGTTAAAAACTTTCTGTGAAAGTGTGACCCTACTCGTGCAGTTGTCTCTTCGGCTCTGCGGTCATGATCCCAGGTCGCTGAGACCAACGCTATTCTAACATCCTTTTCAGGTTCCTCAAGTAACAACCTTCCACGGTGTGGGCAGCTGGGCAATGTCATCCGCCCTCATACCACTAACAGCACACGAAACAAAATCGGTCACAATCAAATCCTTTATTTACCTCTTAATAACTAACTATCTTATCTCTACACCTAGCCCTACTCGCATTCCTTTATAATCTCGCGCCACTGGCGAAAACGATTCTTTAATAACTACCAAGAACTCTTCTGGACAATAACTTAAACCCTTTATTAGTATCTTTTCACGTATTTGCATGCATTGTATCATATTCCTTTATGGATTGATTGTTGGATTTTTGAATATTTTTAGCTCAAGAAAGGAAAATTTTCTCAGGTGTTTTGTTCTCTCTAATCTGTTGGTTAGTTTAATCGTTCAAATAATAGTAGCTCATTGATATGATCCCAGACTGTAAACTTGAGGTTATACGAGAGCATCGATTTCTCTAAGATTGTAGTTACACGTGTGGCAACTAGCACGAAATCTAGGGTTAGGAGATTTTCCAGCTTACTACCACCAACCACCTCACAGGTAAAGCGCTAGTTTATGCCATGTGAAAGCCAATGAACGAGTGACCACAGTGTAACTTGATCCATAAAATTCGATTAGCCGTAAAACACTAGATGACTAGATAAACTACTCAGTGATCAATCAATGTTTCTCATGTTTGTTTACACTATTTTTCACATTAATAATAACTATGTTGTATCACTTGTGTCTCTGAATCAGTTTTATTTATGTCGAATGTGAACAGTAATTGTGAGAATGCTATGTGTTATATGTGCTGGTGATTAGTGCAATGTTGCTGAATGTAATCACCATATAATAAGATATAAATGAAAGCTAATAATACATGCAGGATAGTCTGTACAACGTAGCTATTACTAGTGAGGGATTTTAGCTACTGCGTTTCACAATGACCAACCGTTTGTGTTTATTAAGATAACTAGAATATCGTTATCCTTTCGTTCGCTGATGTAACTGAAGATTCATTTGACAAACGTCGCCCAACTGTTTTTACTCAGATTTTTTTAATTCATCTGCAATTTGTCAACAACCAGTCTGTTCATACTAATCTACTTCCCACAATTGGAATTTATTCATTATATAAATATATCTCATGATTTGTGACTGATCTCTATTTCGTATCTTTTTTTTTCACTTGTACAAACAAACAACATGAAAAATTTTCAGGCTGCTTCCAAATTCTACACAGTTCTACTATTACGTAAACAAGGCGCTGTGGATTTGGCACAAGAAGCTGCCTATTCAGATATTTATATATCCCGTGGACCAAACTTTTTCCGTTTGGTAGAAACATAGGTTGTTTTGATTGACATTTTTTTAATGACTAACCTTTACATTTCTCTCTGTCTCATATACTCACTCACACACACACACACTGTTTTACTCCAATCAGTCAATCAAAACTTAACATTCGCTTCTTGATATTTTATTTTCATTTACTATATAAGTGTATCTTTGTCGATTTATATGTATATGTACATCTTTGTCGGTACTTAAATTATTGCATATTTTTCAATGTTTTCAATAAACAAGAATCACTATTTGTTTGCTTTTTCAAATTGATCATTTTTCTAATCAGTGTATAAATACTTTACTTTATCATTATTGATGCAATTCTTATTCTTCTTCTTCTTCTTCTTCTTATTATTATTATGTATTTAATTTATTCATTAAGATATAGTGTAAACGTTCTATTTTTTTTACTACAAATACATAATCTTTTAAAATGCATCACAAATGTCAGCATTATGCTCTTTTTTTGGAGCAGTTAAATATGTTTGGAAGTTCGCCCTTACGTTTGGTACATAACTTTCAAACCTATAGAGTTGTTAATTTGTGTGAGATAGGTCCTCAGAAGATTGTGTAGACATATCTTTTAGAAATTATACGTGACAAGTGTGAACTGTATTCCTTTATAAACCGTCCTAACAATCAATCAGCAGCAACGTAGAACTTCCTACCTGCGTACGTACATCAGTTCAAGTTGCCGTACCACATTAGCACAGAGGTGCAATTGTCACTTCGAGTCCGATAGTAGTAGAGATAGTGAAAGTGTTAGCAGTATACGAAGATAATAGGATTCAAAGATATTATTCAAGAAGTAGAATCTAGTTAAATAAATTTAAACAGAAGAGGTTAATGGTGATGATGACGGAACACAAAATTGCATGCACCTGCGCCACCGCAAACGGTTTCGAGCCATTGCATTCGGGGTCTCTTACCATCGATTACTATCATCTCGCGAACCCCAACCAGGTAGTCAACGCCTACCTACACGACTTAGTCCGATTGTCAATGACTTCATGGATCTCTGCCATATTTTGGTCTTGTCGCCGCTAGCTTTCTTCCAACCTACTCCTACACTGCAAAACATCTCGACGAGGCAGTCGGTGGTTTGGCGTCTGCAACACATGTCCCAACTACCTCAACTGATGAAGTTTCAATACTTCATCTGTTGACCTGCCATCCTTTCCTAGCACGCGTTTCCTAACAACAGCATTGCTAACTCAGTTGTCCAATGACACACGAGCAATGCTTCGGAGACACCTATGATTGAAAACAAGCAACCCGCGAATGTCTTTTACTCTGACTGGCAATGTTTCACAGTCATATAATAGGATGGAGCGAACTACACTCGTCCTTCAGCCAGCAAACGGATATCTTGCCTACGCCATAAATGACGCAAGTTGACAAAAGCTAATCGAACCGTGCTGAGATTTCGTCAGTCACCAGGTCATCGGCACTGATTAGACACCCCAGATAAGTGAAGCCGTCAACATGCACAACTGCTCCACGCCCCATCACTATTTTAAGTACAGATACAAGCCAATGGTGAAGCAAAATTTTGCATTTCGAGGGGGAGAATAGCATCCCGAACACACATTGTTGCTTAACGTAGTCAGGAGGCACTGCATTTTGTCAGCGTCTTCACCGAATAGAAGTATGTCGTCGGCATATTCTAAGTCAATAGGCGATTTTCCTGGTAGTAGGTCCACTACAAAACCGTCAGACGACGATAATGTTAACTCTAAAAGCATGTCTATGACAAAGTTAAACAACAATGGAGAGAGTGTACATCCGTGACAGAAACAACTTGAAGTGACCGATCCCGATGACAGTTCGCTATAAGCTCTCACTCGACCAGTGCTGTTCGAGTAGAGAGCCTGTACAAGCTTAATGCACTTCTTTGGTACACCTTTATATTACAGTCACTACCGCAGAACCTCACGGTCCACAGAGTCAAATGCCGTCTTTAGGTCCAGGAACACGACTATTTTCGGACGTCTATATGTGTGTCTGTGTTCCAGGACCTGTCGTAGTGTGAAGATGTGGTCTATACAGCCACGTCTAGTTCGAAAACCAGCCTGTTTTCCTCTAGTCTGCCCTTCACGAGCTATGGTTAATCGTCTAAGGATAACAGGCTAACAATTCAGACACTATGTTAGTTAGACTGATGCCCTAGTGATTGTTACAAGAAGACATTTTTCCTTTCTTATAAATTAGGACAATCAAGAATTGAGACCAGTTAGATGGTATTACGTGCAGTTCCTAGATTCTACCTAAGATCTCAGTCAATCCAACTGCTAAAACTGGACCGCCATTCTCAAAGATCTCAGGCGTCAATTGCTTAGGATCAGCAGTTCTCCCTTACTTCAGAATTCCTATAGCTTTCTCAACTTCATGAAGAGTTGGAGGAATTAAGTCGATTTGCCATTCAGGATGACTGGAGACTGTGGGCAACTGAAGTGTGGCTAAAGGCCAGTTGAACTGATCCCTCAAGCGTCGTGCCCATTAATCCACTCTCCTGGATTGAGAACCAACAATAGGACAATCCTTTTTCGAGATAATCTCATAGTCGGATTTTTGATGCTGGTTTCCTTGATTAGTTTGGATTATTGTCTACTGTTGCCTATCACCGCTGTCTTTTCGATATCTCTTACTTTCGATGCCAACCACTCTTCTTGATCACGTAGCAGACTTCTTGTCAGCCGACGTTTTAGATGTCTTCGCTCCCCATCGTGTTCGTGAGCACGATGAGTTTCCCAGTGTCAAAACGTTCAATAAATGCCGCTAAAATCCATCGTTTCTCCCTAACCTTGTGGTTTACCTCACCAGCAGATATCACTGCTGTTTTCATAGCTTTTTGGATAATGTTCCACGCCGACTCGGAATGGTAATCACTTACATCGTCGCCTTACTGTTTTGATAGTTGCTTCTAAAATATATTCTTAGGTAAGCTATCAATAAGTAGAAACCTAACAGGTTTCTTTCCGGTGTCTTTTTCAAGTCCGGTAGGCGTCAAACAAATATTCGCTCGCACTAGGGCATAATCTGAATTTAAACACGTGCTCCAGAATGAGCGACAATCTCATAGTGAACCCCTCCATCGGTGTCTGATTGCGATGTGATCTATTTGGGTCCAACGTTCAGACGACTTCGGGGGTCACCAGGTCAAGAGATGTTTTTCCTTATGCTTAAAGTTAGTGTTCGCTAGATATAGTCGAATAATCAGGTAAAGTTGCATCAGAGGTCGCCGTTATCTATTCTATTAATCACGACACCATAACATTCACCCAGGTGTCTTTCCTTTTCTCTGAGCATTGAAGTCATCAGCCATTTTTAATATATCAGAGCATCTAACCTTTTGGATGAGGCCCGAAATCTTTCTGTGGAACTGATCTTTCACCTCGTCTGAACTGCAGTCAGTGGGAGCGTAGGCAACGGTAACGGTCTCTATCTTTCCGAATCCTTACTGTACACTAGGATCCAGTCTAAGAGAGCTTGTTCTGCCCCAGGACTTAATACTATACCTACGCCACAGATGCCACGGGAAGCAGCATCAAGGCTACCAGAAACTTTGGGCGTAACCGTGAAAGGGTTCCGGTTATCAGAAGGGGCATCGGCCTTATGAAAGAAAGAACTCGGCTTTCATCACGTGAAGTCATACCTCTTCTAAATGAAGACCCAACTACCAGGGCAGAATTTAAATGGTTTGAATCATTTATTTATTAGCATTTTTTAACGAGTTAACCAAACAAAACTGTGTCATCGGCATATTCTAAGTCAACAATTGAGTCTCCTCATAGAAGGCCAATAGTTGAAAAGTAAGACACTGAAAGTGTCGTTACCAAAATCATGTCAAAAAATGAAAAGGAGCCATGAAAGTGTACAACCCTAACGAACACCACTTGAAGTGATCAATTCCTTCCTGGGATTTGCTATAGGTCGTAACTCGATCAGTATTCTTCAAGTCGAGAGAATATTCCTCACGACCTACAGAGTCAAATGCCATCTTAAGGCCAAAGAATACAATTCATGTAGGGCCTCGAAATGTGTCTGTGTTCAAGGATCTAACGAAGTAAGAATATTGGGTCTACACATCTGCGTCCATGTCCGTAAAGAGCCTGGTTTTCTCGAGTTTGCTTTTCATGAGCGGCTAATATTCAAGCCAAAATATCAGTTGAACTGAATCCTTTGTGACTGTCATATTAGGATTTTTTTTCCTTTTCCACAGACCAGGAAAATCGGTTACTGAGACCATTCAGATGTTAATACGTCCAGTTCCCTGATTCTGCATTTTCAAGTTCAGTGGTTGTCGGAAGACTCATATTAACTTGTCCTTCTGGTGGCCTATTGCTTCCAGGTTTTGAATGGTATTTTAACTTCGGTCGATCCATATTTACAACAAATTTATTCATCAGAATAAAACTATCCACCTAAGTTTCAAAACCTGCTGGAGGAACGTGGAATTTTCAGACACTCCTCTAATAAAGCCATTCGTATTTGCATGCAAACCACTCATCAAGATTGTAATTAAAAGAGAGTCTAACCAAAGTATGATAGTGAGGTGTTTTATTCACGGAAATTTAAAAATTAACAACCCGTACGTATTTAAAACAGGAGCTGTTTTAGTCGAAATTTCTTCTCTGAGTTGAACTATTAGTAACAATGCGTTGAGTGGGCTAGTTCGTTAATAGTGCTTCTCTTACTGTACGAACTTTTATTTCCAGTAATCACATTTTGTTTATCTCACTCTTGCATTTTCACTTGGTTTTGACTGATATTATTGGTATTCATAGATTCGTTCTCTGTCTGCTGTTTGATCGTGTCAGATTTTCCCCTCGTTTTTTTTCCCTAGTTCACCTGCACACGTTACTTGCATGAAGTGCCTTAAGTACAGACAAAAACCTTTTTCACAATTAAATGCTGCTGAATCAAGTAGCGAAAGTAGCTCATCACTTGAGAATTATTAATCTGCCCAAAATTGTAGCAGATTTCAAGAATTTTGTTCGAAACTGATTTTCTGACTATGAACGTTTTCTGATATGCAGGCGGTAACAACTGCTTGACAAAAATAGCATTGTGTGCTATAAAATAGTTTTCGGGATTCTGAATCTTGAGTAATAGTATTTATTGATCGTGAAAAATTGAAGGTTTGTGTCCAGAGTTAATCCGTTGGAAGCACTTAATCTAGAAGTTTTGGAATTTTGCAATCATTTACCTTTTTCATTTTGATTTCGAATCTAGATTACTGGTGACAAAAGATTATTAGAACTAATGATACTTTTTGTCACAAGATCACCTATACCGAGTTTGCGCGAGATTGTTTAGTCATATAGATTAAATGTACACTTCTGACCTTGACTGTTTGAAAAACTTCAAATGTTTTACAGAAATGTGCAAATAATTTAACTAAATGTCACTCGACCTTGCATCGAATTCTCCCCCTACATTTAAGGTGAGTTTTTCACAAATAATGTTTCGTCATTCATTTCTGGTTAATTAGTTTATATACTGATGTTCAATAGAATATCTTTCTTTTATGATAGAAATAATAATATTTCTATTGATAAGATTTGATTGAAACCATTTTTAACATATAATCTCTCCGACACATATGCGTTTTAGCGCCTTGTCACCTAAAGTGTTGCGAGATTTCTTCTTCTTAACTACATCGATGACTAAAGGAAACTAATTATAAGATTATTTAATTTTATAAAAGTGGCCGTTTTTCAGATTTATGTAAGTTTGATATTTGATTTATTTAGACAACATCGGTCAATCAAAATTGGCTACCCTGTTTAGGCTCATACTTGTCGAACTCATATATTCTTTTTGAATTTAGTGTTAATGACTTTTCGCTGCACACTTTTCACTTATACTTTTTATAAAATGTATTCGAACAATTAAAGTGCAGATCTTGATGTTAGTTTGAAGTTCCTGCAAAAACCATCCTCCGTTTTATTATGATTAATCCAGTGTTTAGGCGCACACTGTCAGTTTACACTAAGACTTCTTACTCTTGTATAATCCATTGCTTGTAACCTATAGTGTTTGTGAAATATTATTGTAGTTCAAAGGATTCTAATTTCGACCATTTGAAAGTTAGCACAATGGATAGGGTGTAAAACTATTTATACCAAACTGTCCATTAGAATATCTTGATTCTCATTTGAGTGGAACCTGTTATTTAGATACAGTCTGGAGCTTCGAAGACTCATATTTAGAGAAAATTAAACACTCATTTAGTCCTTGTAATAAAATATACTTGATAGGTTTATATATATATATATATATATATACGTTTTTGAATATTTATTTGACATCTGCAGATTAACATAATGTAAACAGCAACGTGGATGAGTATCACATTGATGTTTATCTGAATTGCCCCAGCATAAAGTCAAAATTATAGCTTTCCTTTAAAAGTTTTGCACTGTAGAAAGATTTCAACGTCTACTTTAAAGATAATACATGTAGAAAAATTTTATTGTTTTCATTTATATCCTCATCACTCCTTTATCACATTCATATGAGAAATATCAAACTAATGAATGAAGTGTGTATGCCAGTGATAGCAGTGAAATATATTTAAAAAATTAGCGGGCTTTGTTTTGTCACACCTAATCAATAGCCATCAGGCATTAGACTGAAGTAAGTCATTTAGAGCAGTATCCCGTATATCCACTTCTTTACTTCAAGGAGTTTGCCTATGTCTCGTCTATATAACATAAGTTCAAGGTATTTGAGCCAAACATCTAGGTTTTTATATTCCAATGTCTAATATTTTCTTCAAGAGCTAGTTCAAATCAGTCGAATTCTTTGCGCTCAATTCCTGTTTTTTCGGTTCGGTTTGATAGTGTCCAGTAGATAGCAGTCTAGCCACTTGAATACAGTAATCTTAGTCAGTTCACAGTTATTTTTGAATTTATGTGTCCCGCGATTTTGATGAGTAGATTTTTTTCAGGGCATTAGGCTTTGTGGATACCAGTAGCTATCATGTCAACAGACCACAGACCAGTTAGATGCAATGCGGAGAATAACAAGGACAAAATTTTAATGCAAATAAGAAGAAAACTTCAGAACTAAGTGAATAAATGGATAAATCATTTTATTAACTGGTGTTGAAGGTTGTACGATGGGACAGAAGTGTAAGCGGGCGAGAGGAAACAGAAATAATAAGCCAGATAGATTTAATTAGTGATCTGGGGAAATGACAATAATAACAACTAGCAAGCTTTGAGACATTCATCAGGCACAATCGGTCCCTGAGAGCGATAAAAATCCATATATATGAGAAAGTTGTATGTGATACTCATCTCCTCCGTAACCGAATTACATCTCGCAAATCATTTCAATAATTATTATTTTCGAAACTGTTTGTTCATTTAAGGTTTCTTATTCGATAGTTAAACATGTTTTTAAACGACTACTTATTTGAGTACCTCTTCTCACATAAGTTTCATTATTTCTTTAACAAATATTATTTCGATGTCTAACCTTCATAGTCGTTGACTCACTTCCTATCATGAAACATTTAATCAAAAAATTATTACTTTCAACACATCAAATACACTTTTCTTGTAATTTTTACTTATTTTGGTCGTTTATATAATCTGTTCAGTTATTATCTGTGACTCATAAACTGCATTAGTTAACTTGATAGAGTTCTAAGTAAGGAAAGGCTTTAAACGCTTTGATGTGTCATTCAAGCTACATTGTGTCATGAAATACTAGGGCAACGAAGGAAATAATATATTTTTCAAGTAAAGTGTATAAATATCGAAATAGGACAGTGAGTAAATATTATATATATACATATATATATATATATATATATATATATATATATATATATATTGGTTACTCATTTAGTATGTAATAATAGGTACATAAATTCAGCAAATCTGGAACTCCTACTATACAATTCACTAAAATACCATTTTTTTAATCGTTTCGGTTAGTCTGTCAGCAACAAAGTAGAAATTTGTAAGTATGTGCATTAGTTCAAGTAGCCATACAACATCAGCACAGAGATGCAATTATGATAGATGTAGTAGAATTATAAGAAGTAGTAATCAAATAGAATAGGGTTCGAAGATATTATTCAAGGAGTATGACCAATGAAATAAATTTCAGAAGAGAAAGATAAAAGGGATGAGGAATTTTAGAGTATTATTATTTGGGAGAAGACAAAGAATGGATACACACCTGCGCCATCGCAAATTATTTTCAGCTGTGTAGTTCAAGGTCTCTAATCATCGATTATTAATGTCTCAATTATGTGAGTTTTATAGCATAATAATGTACTTGTGAAAAGCATAAGCCTTTTTTTTAAAAATATATATATTTCATAAGTGGTTTTATTACTGAAGTCTGAGGCGTCACTTTATCTGAATTATCTCAAATTCAACTTAAACATTTCTTTTACTATATTTTCATGGAATATACTGAGATGTGATTATTTTCGTTTATTTTAAGCTGTATTTAAGTAAGAAAAATGTACACTTATAATATATTGGCTATAAAGATTCATTTCATAAATGACAAAACTTAGCTTACTGTTATTTCTATAAAGTTACGCTGTTCTTTCTACTTTTTGTTTTCTTTAAATTCTAAAAAAGTGGGTATACTTCTCAATTTTCTTTTCCGGTTTTATTATCGACTACTAGAGTTTTCTGTGACATTGACATGAAAAAAAACAAAACAAAACAAAACATAAATTTCTACTGTCTTCCATATTCCTATTCTAGACTAGATAACTTTAATAGTTTCAAACAACGATAAAACACAAACATTCCACCTTCATAAACAAAAATAATTTTAACTTACTATTTTTTTTTACAATGTCCATTGTGTTTTATCAGGAAAAAGAAACAACTTAAAATAATGACAGGATACCTAACAAGCTGTGTTGTGTATATTGATTAGTTTTTTGATAAAAAAAAACGACTTGATAGCGCTAACAATTGTAAGATGAGAAAAAGGCAGGTTTATATGAAAAGTATTTTTTTTTTCTGTTGAACAGATACTGTCGTCTTCTTGATAGGAAAAATCTGCCACAAAATGGAATTTATTTTTTTTTATACACGATTCATTTAAAACCGTAATTTTTCTATGTCTAAAAGTGGTACATTATTACTATTATTATTATTATTATTATTATTATTATTATTATTACTATTATTAGGAAATAATAATTCTATTAAAATATTTTTAATTTACAATTATAATTATGAATAAATTTTAAATTATTAATGTAACGTTCTTGTGAAAAGCTAACTGATTTATACTGATGATAAAAGATGTGAAAAGAAATATACTGAATAGATTATTAAATGAATTTTAATTGAAAATGATGTATGAGAATTTTTTTTAGAACTTTCAATTATTCATTTTAATAATTTTTCGAATTTTACTGAAGTCATGAATTGTTGATTGTTAGATCACCATTAGATACATGAAATCAATCGATGATAATTATCCAGTATCGTGGACTAATTAAAGTTAGACGATAAAACCTGTGGATGCCAGTTTAGTAGTCTGAATGTTAAGCATTGGTATACAAGATCGTGGGTTCGAAGTCTACGTATGTAGATCATGGATGCGTACTACCACTGATGAGTCCTATACTAGGACGAAACAGCCATCCATTTTTCTCAGTGTGTACCTCCCTCACATGTGACATGGTTGAACTACACCAATCACCTCTTCTCAATAATTCCTTCACGAGGCTAATCATTAGTGAGTAAATAACTAGCGATTGACTATTTTTGAATTATCTACAAATCTATGATGAGAGTTCTGTGGAAATGGATTAAAAATATTTTGATCTCTTTGTGGTGGCATTAGTTGGATGATTTTTTTTAAAATAAGACAAGCTAAAGACACATGCTTCATACTACCAGTACAGTACACATTAGAAATACTAATCAACAATCAAATACATCAAACTTTGCTTTGCATGCAGACTAAATAGTGTAGCAAATATTTGCTTCTTTAATTACTTGAGTCACACTCAGTCATAAACGATATAAAATATGGAACGCAAAACAAATATACATCTGTTCAGATTATCGTATCACATTTGAACATCAAAACTAATTAGTACTAATAGTTTAACACTGACATTCCTTAATACAAGTTATACATATCTTACAATGAATTTGACAGAAATTCCACTAGTCATTAGAATAGTAGAGTTTTAACAACCTCACGCACAATATATTGTTGATAATCTCTGAGTTTGTTTTAATAGTTTACCGATTAAATTCCCATTAAAAACATTTTAAAAAAAACCCATCAACATAACTTGGTTTATGATAAAATTTCAGTCTGACTAACCAGATTATTATTGATTATTTTGGTTTATCAAAAAAAAAAATGAAATGAAATGAAATGAAAGAGGCATAAATAAGAAAGAAAGAAAAAAAAATAACGGGTTTATATTTTCAAACA